GGTCATCACCACCATCGGTGAGTGCTGCGCCCCGCCGTCCCCGCACCCCGTCATCCCGCAGCCCTGCGTCCCCACGTCCCTGCACCCCATCGTCCCCACGTCCCTCCGTCCCTAGATCCCGACACCTCTCTGTCCCCACATCCCTCCGCCCCCACATCGCAGCACCTCTTCATCCCCACATCCTTGCAGACCCCTATAGCAGCACCTCTCCATCCCTCCATCCCTCTACCCCAGCATCTCCTCATCCCCCCACCCTCATATCACAGCAGCACTTCTCCATCCCTACATCCCTGAACCCCTGTCTGCCTCCACCCCCACACCGCTGCACCTCCACATCCTCCCACACCTCCATCTCTTCTGGGTGCTCCACACAGCTCGAGGTTGGGGGGTTGCCTGCACAGGAGAAGCAGGTCTCACTCACACAAGGCTGGGATGGCTCTTTGGGCCAGCCCCGAGCTGACCCTGTGGGACCCCCACTCGCCCTGTGGAGGGAGAAGTGATCCACAGGCAGGCTGGGGGCCACCTGGTTCCAGGAGATGCCAGGGGTGCTGGGGTGGCTGAGGCCACTAAACGTGCCAGGGAAGCACTAAACATTGTCCCAGGGAGAGAGCAGCACACGGAGCTTCTGCAGGCACCTTTGGGGCAGGCAGCTGCAGAAGTTGGCGGGGCCGTAGGAGGGCAGAGGTGGGAGCCACATCTCTCCTCTGTGCAGTGCTGTAGCCAACAAGCCAGGCTGAAGAGCTGGGCAAGAACTGTTGGCTTCTTTGCCAGCTCAAAACTCTGGATGTCTGGCTGTACGAGACCTGCTTCAGGGTGCCGGGACAGCCGCCGGCCGCTGAGCCTCGCCCTGCCTGCACAGAGCCTGCAGAGGGGCGGGAGCCAGCCAGCCCCGGGGGCAACGAGGCACATGAAACCCCCTGCGGGCACCCTTACCCCTGCCAGAGCCCAGTGCCTTGGTTTGCCTGCCTCAGTTTTGTGAGAGAATGAAACTAAGTGGAATGAGGATTGCCTTAATTCTAGGAGAGATTAGCCACGGGGGAGTTGAGCATTGCTTAATTAATCCACTTTCATTAATCCACGCACCCTGAACATGCCGTGGGAGTAGGCAGGCATGGGATCCTGTGCCAGTGTTGTTGCTCGTGCTGGGATTTCCATCAGCAGTGTGTTGGAGGCAGGGACCCTGAGGCCAATCCTGCCCTTCCACAGCCAGCAGCCACCTCCTCCTCTGTAGGACAGGGCTCAGCCCTCCCGAGGGGCTCGGCACGGGTGGAATACAGCCGGTAGCCAAAAGCATCATCCCTCGAGTCAAGGGCTGGTGGGATCAACTGTGCTGTGTTCCCAGGGGACAAGATGAGGTGGAGGGGCAGGTACCCCACAGGCCTTGCCCCGGGGGGTCCCCATGTGCCCCCATGGGGTGGGGGCTGTGGAGCTGGCAGCGCACGTGGCCGGCAAGGAGCGACGGGCTCGGCGCAGGGTTGGTGCCAGGCCCCAGCAGGAGGGCAGGATGAACAGCTTCGGCGAGGATCTCCATCATCTCCTGACAGCTTATAGCTTCATTTACATTATTGTTCCGTTGACTGTGACAAACAATTGCTACGCTTATCACATGATAAATAATTTCAGCTCAGGTGCTGTGTTTCTAAAACGCTGGCACATCAGATCTCTTTATATTGGGCTGTGCTCCAAATCACAGTTTTAACGTTAACGTAGCTGTGTTTACTCTGTCTAATTGCCTTTGCCATTTTGCAAGCATCAGTCAAATGCTCTTTCAGCAGTCTCTCAGGGTACAACAACTGTTTTTCCACTTACTGCTCTTCTGGATCATTATATTTACCTCCTCATTGCTGTCATTGTATTATCTTGTAGCCTGGGACCTGATAATTGCACTCAGTTATTAAGCTCGGGTCTGAGTGGCTGTTTTTTTTTGCCGCTGCAGTCTCATGCCTGCTCTGTACTCTGTGAAATGTGGCATACAGACATTAATTTTATCATTTTGATTGCACAGGTTTAGGAATAGACAGAGCAATTACAAACCAGTCCCTTCCTGCCTGCTTGTAGTTTGAAGCACAGCATGGTCAAGGGTGATGCCACCCTCAGCCTCCCAGCCCTGTCCCATCACAGGAGACTGGGACAGCGTGGTCCCATCCTCTGGGCTTCCCACCACTGCATGCTAACAGCTTCCCTAAGAATCCTGGATATCCACTGGCAGCAGAGAGAGGTGAAGCCACATCACAGCTTTGAACAAGACAGAAATAAAAAAGGGTGGTTTTTTCCTCCTATAGCTTCAGGCAGAGGTCACATGGTTACCTAGAAAAAGTGAAAATATAGATAGCTGTTTGCGAAAGGTCGCCCAGCAGCACGGGAAGGAGCCAGTGTGGTTCTGCAGGTGCCTTCAGATAGGAACTTTCTCACAGAAGCTCAAAAGCGAGGCTGGGATGCCTTTGGATGCTGCTGCTCCCCACGCTGCGTGACTCTTGCACTGAGTTAGTCACTCATCTGCTCGGGTCAGAGGCCACTGATTGTGCTCAGCTCACGCAGGGCAGTGAGGTGGGCGCGGGATCGCTGCGGAAGTCCAGCAGGTTGTGGTGAATTCCTCATCACGACTCACGGCATAATTGTGTCTGTCCTTGAGTCACAGCTCTGAAACTTGGAGCAAGGTGAGGAAATTAAATCACAGAAGGCGTTCAAGGAGAATCTCATCCTCCTCGAGCTCCTTGTCCCTGGGACGAGGGCTGACAGGGCTGCAGTGGCGTAAATACTTCCCTGCATTTAAAGCAGCACAAGGCCTCCTCCCCATCCGTCCAGCAGTGCTTTGGTCTGTCTTAGGGACACCGGAGTAAATCCAAAGTGGCTCTGCAGAAGTCCCCCCAGACTGAGATGCTCCTGCAGGGACTGACCCTACAGTGCAGGGGCCCTACAGCTCCTGTCCAACTGGCCACGTGGCAAGTGGTTGTGTAGCTGAGTCAAAGATGCCTGTGATACTGGAGGGCTCGGGGGACAGGAGGCAGAAGGCTTGCAGACCCCAGTCCAGCTCTAGGGCTCCTCTTGGCCTCCATGGCTTCTACAAGCTTGGGGGCCATCAGGAGGGTACCTCCCTATTTAGAGGCCAAATATGAGGTTCTGCCCAGGTGATGCCACAATGTGCCATCATTCCAGAGGATGTGGCATCCCATGGCCCCGCTATCATCACCCACAGGTCTGTTACTGATCCATTTCCCATTTTCTCCTGTTCTCCTCCTGCTCCTCTTGGCCTTGCTGGAAACCCCAGTGAGGGCTTGACACCTGCCTGTCCTCTTTCCTTTTCAGGCTATGGGCACGCTGCCCCGGGCACGGATGCTGGCAAGGTCTTCTGCATGTTCTATGCTATCCTGGGCATCCCCCTGACGCTGGTCATGTTCCAGAGCCTGGGGGAGCGCATGAACACCGTTGTGCGGCTGCTGCTCAAGAAGATCAAGAAATGTTTGGGCATGAGGACAACCAACGTCTCCATGGAGAACATGGTTCTGGTCGGCTTTCTGTCCTGCATGGGGACCCTGTGCATCGGCGCAGCTGCCTTCTCTTATTTCGAAGGCTGGACTTTCTTTCATGCCTATTACTACTGCTTCATAACCTTGACCACTATTGGCTTCGGAGACTTTGTGGCTCTGCAGAAGAACGAGGCTTTGCAAAAGAAGCCCCCATACGTGGCTTTCAGCTTCATGTACATCCTGGTGGGCCTGACCGTCATCGGCGCCTTCCTCAACCTGGTGGTGCTGCGGTTCCTGACGATGAACTCCGAGGACGAGCGGCGGGACGCTGAGGAGCGAGCCTCGCTGAGGAGAGCCCGGAACAACATCCACCTCAAGCCCAAGGAGGACAGCCGGAGCAGCAACGCCATTTTTCTGCCCGTGGAGGACAGGACGAGCCAGATGAACCTCATCCCTCTGGTCAAGGAGGACGCGGAGAGGCAGCGGCGCCAGTCGGCCCACTCGGCGGGCGCGGTCCCGTCCTTCTGCACGTGCCTGTGCTACAGAGCTCCGCTGTGCGGCAGCCCGGCGCCCTCCCACCCCGAGACCCTGAGCTGCCACAACAACCCCGTATACTACAACTCCGTGTCCTATAAACTCGACGACGGTTCTTGGCTCCTCCCCAGGGAGCACGTGGTCCTCCAGCAGCCCTCGCTGCCGGCGGCACCCCCGGCTGCGGAGGAAATCCATCTAGGGAGCGTGCCCAGCGGCACTCGGGGCTCGAGCCTCGCCGCGGTGATAAATTATGAACAGAATGTCAGATCCTTCTTACTGCGCTCGTTTCTTCTGTTCCTCTCCCCTTTCAGCTGGCTGCCGGCCCCACGCAGGGTCCGGCGGGAGCCTTTAAGCCCTGTTGAGAAATAATTAATTCCTTTTTGCAGGCACTGAAAGACATTGTTAATTTAATTTGCTTTTTCCTCCTCTCAGGTAGGTTGAAGCATTTGGGTCTGGCATGAGGCCTCACAATGGGAAGTCCAGCAAGCTCTAGGTTTGCTTTCCCACCTCCCTGCTCCCCAAACAGAGGTGTTGCTACTCTGCCTGACCTTGGCTCTGGCTGCTGCCAGCATGTGCTTCTCACTGCCTGGGCTGGATTGCACTTGTGAGGGCGTATCAAAAGCAAAGCCAGTGTTAGTGAGCCCTGCAGGGTTGAGGATCTCCAGGTTGTCCCCTGCCAGTGGGTGCAGGTAAGTCAGTGCCACGTGGCAGGTTTGCAGCTGAGGGGTGGGCAGGGAGAGGTGGGCAGATGGGGACAGGCTGCTCAGCACATGGGGACAGCTTCGTGGCACTGCATCTCCCGTGACCAGCCCTCCAGGTCTCGGCTCAGGCTGGTGGCCGGCACAGCCCTTTTGGAAGCTGGAGGTCCGTGTGCCCACCCACCAGCACACCTTACCTCGCTGCTGGTAGGTGCTCCAGGTGGAGCTGGCCCGTGGGATGCTGTGCCCCATTCACAGGGGAAGCTGAACTCCTCCAGCCCAGCCATAACTCCCTTCTGCTGAGCCCAGACTGCCGAGGGCACAGCCCCAGGGAGAGCCTCCTCGAACCAGAGTCCCCTGCAAAGGCTCTGGCCCCGGTGAGATCGTTGCCTAAACCCACCCTTCCCCTCAGCACCTCTCCAGCTGGCAGCCCAGCGGGTGTGCCTGCTCCTCGCCTGCCCCCAGGCCCCCGAGCCCCGGGTTTGTGCTCACTGCTGCTGGGCTGCTCAGAGGCGGGTGACCCCATCCCCGTGTGTGTCCCGGGCGGGCTGCGGCACCCTTTTTTTGCGGCACCCCCCCAGCCCCACCTGGGAGGCTGCTCCCCGCTGTGCCCCCCGACACGGCCTGTGTCCCTCCTGCCTCATCTGCAAGGAAGCAGGACTGGCCTCTGACAGTGGCAGCAGCTCCGTTTCACTTTTTTCCCCCAATAAGGAGACATTTCCACTCTTAGTTCTACCCTGAAATACCCTCTGAGGGGGGCTTCCCAGAGGAAGATCCCATTTTCCTGGTGGGGAAGGCACCAGCATTGGGAAGGCCTCAGGGCAGACTTTGCTCTCCCCTCTTTTTGTTCTGGGCAGGTTAATAAAAGGTGAATCCAGCTGATGGTGGTTGGTTATTTGTCACGAGGGGAGCAGCAGACGTGTCTGAGCCCCAAACCCCAGCCTGGCTGCAGGGGTACACCAGGGCTGGCTCCCCTGCCACAGGGCAGTGTTTGTACCCAAGGGTAATATTCCTGTGGATGTTTCCTGGGATGTCTGGGCATCAGAGGGGGGTGGAGGGGCTGTCCCAGAGCTGAAAAGCAGCTGGGCCTTGTTGCCCATCATGGTTTTGCTCCATGCAAGAGAATGCTCTGGGCTCCTCCACCCTCCCTAGCCAGAGACCTTCACATTTCCAACCTTTCTTGGTGCTTGGGCTTCCCTGGAGGCAGTTTTGGGCTTTGATGCCACCCCAAATCTGTGCAGACTTGTTACAACTGGGACTTTCTTGTTCCAGTCTCTCAAATAGCAGAAATCTGGGTTGAGACCTGGGCAGGGCAGGTCTGCAGTGGGACTGCAGCACTGCCTGGGTAGGTGAGGGGGGTCCTCGCCTGATCCCTTTATTTGGGGGATGCTCTCTGGCACGGCTGCCTACTCCTGCCAGGTTCTCCACCCCATGGAGGCAGAGGTAGGACTTCTTGAGGTGTGACATGACCACATCCATCCATCCTGCAGGGCTGATGTGAGGGGCTGCTTTGTGAGACCTTCGTCCGGCTGCTCCCGTTGGGGTGTGAGGGCAGGGGGTGGAGAGGCCCCACCCCCAAAGCGCTCTGGCTGCACTTCCCCCCAGCAGCTCAGCAGCTGCAGTGTGTCCCACAATGGCCCCAAACCTGGCTGAGCCTTGAAGAGCACAGGGGAGGAGGGGGGAAGCAAGCTGTGAGCATATAAAGCCAGCTTAAGACCGAGGCTTTCACTGGCTTCCCAGCTCCACAGTGATGTCATTTCAGGCTGATTCCCCCAGCTCAGCCCCTTGGTTGCTGTGTCACATCTCCCAGGCTGTTGGCCCAAGGCTTGAGCGTCCTGTGGTGCCGCTGCCACCAGAGCTGTGCTGCAGATGGAGATCCTTTATCCTTCCCGTGTTGAAGATGGGACACCCTCCCAGTGGCCATCATGGAGCTGGCACCTCTCACCCCGCCTCCACCCCCATGGAAGGGACCAGCTCTCCAATTCCTGCACAGGTTGGAGCCCACATGGCATTGCCCTGGTGAAACCCACCTCTTCAGGAGCTGGAAGCAGCAGAACCACAATCTGGAGGCTGGTCCAGCCTCTGGATCCAGCACTGCCAGGGCTCTCTGGCTCCCTGCTCACGTGGCACGAGGCAAAGCCCGGCAGAGGCACCGGGGCTGGTGACAGGACATCTGTGCTGCCTGGGGCAGAGGATGGAGCTGGTGCAAGCTGTGGCACAGAAAGCAGGGAACCTGCTGGCCCTTCACTGCTGGTTTGGCACAGGCTGAGCTGCCAGGCAGCTGCTTAGTGACGGCCCCATCCTGCTTTGGTGATGGTTGGAGGGTGGGACATGCTGGGCTGGGCTGCCCCAACCTCCCAGATGCTGCTGGGGAAATCATCCTCCTCCTTCCTCCACCCATGGTCCCCAGGAGCTGTAGCTGGGGTGGGTGGGAACTGCCTTGCCCCAGGGTTTGCAGCTTGATGCCATCCAGGGCCAGGCAGTAGCTGCACCCCCAGTGACACCTCCAGGTCTCTTCCTCGAGGCTCCCCCTGCACTCACACTGACTCTTGGTATTCCCAACAGCCTGGGACAGGGGTGGGATTTTTTCTGCCAGCAGCATCTTCACCTCCAACATTTCAAAATCAACTTTGAATGGCCAGTGTTGACCACAAAGGGTCTTGGGAAGAAAAAAGCCAAAAGCTCCTGGTTGGAGCAGGGAGCAGAGTACAAGCTGGGAGCAAGCTCAGCTCTATGCCTGGAGATGCCCACAGCAAAATTACACCTGGAAATGGGACAGGGAAATGTGGGCTTGAAGGTGGGGTTGATTCAGACAGGGCCCTTCCATGGAGAGCACTGGGACGGAGCTCTTGGAACAGCGCTGGGGCACACCAAGCTGAGCTGCTCTCACTTCCTACAGGCACAAAGAGAAGGGGTGGGCCAGCTGAAATCTCAGGTTGAAGATAATGGTGACAACAGAGAGGGCAGAGACACTCCACAAAAAACCTCCACACACCATAGAAAAAAAAAAGGTTTTATTATCACCATTATCAACATTTTCATTAGCTTAACACTGAATTGTAAATCACTCAGTCATTACATATTGTCTGAATAAAACCTACAGACAGGAAAAAGTACAGCAGAATCCTCCCCTGACCAGAGGCGAGCGGCCGGCGCCCCGCGGGCGCTGCCAGGACACTGTGCCACCTTCCACCCAAGGCAGCCCCACACCTCGCAGGTCACCCCACGGCGCCAAGCAGGCTGCCCGGCCCCACTGCCTGTGCTCCCCGGGCCCCACGGAGATGGCATCTCGCTGGATGATGTTAAAAACCCCCAAAGGCTTTGGAGAGGGCTAC